AGTTGTAACTCAAATGTATCAATTGATTTGAACTGTAAATTAAAAAAAAGGATAATTCCTCACTAAAATATTACATGATTTACATTCATACTCACAATCAGGAAACATATAAAATTCCTACATTTTCTTTGTTCTGTTGTGTCACCTAATATGTATAACGCATTTTTTTTTTAAATATTTCCCAAATGATAAGAAAGTCCTTACATCACTAAAACTAATCCATTAATGAAATGCCTAAAAAGGAAGTCATGCAATAATCATAAACATTGCACTGACAATGAAACAAATTCTTAAATACAACCAATTAAGAGATCATTTGAGCCTTGAGCACTTTATAATATTCTAAGTTTGTAAGAGAATGATAATCCCTTACTTCATGATAAGAACTCGCTAACGCTCGTACTTAATCATGAAGAAAGGGTTTCTATAAATGAGTTACAAATGCCCCGAATCACATTTATCAGCTTGAAAGAATTTGTGATTAAAACTGACTAAAAGTTGAATTTTGAAACAAACAAACAAATCAATATAAGATGAAGTTTACCGTTGCAGTAACATTGGTACCGTTAATGTTATGAAAATATTAATATCATTAAATTATTACTGGATCTGGTCTCACAATCAGGAAACATATAAAATTCCTACATTTTCTTTGTTCTGTTGTGTCACCTAATATGTATAACGCATTTTTTTTTAAATATTTCCCAAATGATAAGAAAGTCCTTACATCACTAAAACTAATCCATTAATGAAATGCCTAAAAAGGAAGTCATGCAATAATCATAAACATTGCACTGACAATGAAACAAATTCTTAAATACAACCAATTAAGAGATCATTTGAGCCTTGAGCACTTTATAATATTCTAAGTTTGTAAGAGAATGAAATCATGAAGAAAGGGATTATCATTCTCTTACATATACTTAATTATAAGTCCTCAACTATAACTATAAGTAACCGAGATAACCGGTCCCGAAATTGTATTAACGAAATTACTGATTGGTTTACCTTTTGAAAACATTAAAGATCTATTTATGACATTAATTTATATGCTTTTATTTGATTAAATTTTGCAAGTGTCTATCTTTTCTGTATTTTTATCATAAACTAGAGGCTCTCAAGAGCCTGTGTCGCTCAACTGATTCTACTTTGGTTTTGGAAATCATGTAAAAATAGATTAAAATCATAACAGATACCCTAATAATGATTGAGGCCAAATTTGGTTTAATACTGGCCCTGTAATCCTCTAGAAGAAGCTATTTTGTATGTATTTCCCTAAGAGTCTTATGTTAAACTAAGTCCCCTGCTGGCGGCCACCTTGGATGATGGTTCGGCTACAAAGTAACAACACTTGGTCAGCACCTCATTAGGAACATTCATGCCATGTTTGGTTTCATTCTATACAGTAGTTCTCTAGAAGAAAACATTTGTATGTATTTCCCATAGGGTCCTATGTTAAACTAAGTCCCTCTCTGGCGGCCATCTTGGATAATGGATTTTCTACAAAGTAACAACTCTTAGTCAGCACCTCATAAGGAACATTCATTCCATGTTTGGTTTCATTCCATTCAGTGGTTCTCTAAAATAAGACATTTGTATGTATTGTCCATAGGGTCCTATGTTAAACCAAGTCCCCTGCTGGCGGCCATCTTGGATAATGGATCGGCTACAAAGTAACAACACTTGATCATCACCTCATAAGGAACATTCATGCCATGTTTGGTTTCATTCCATTCAGTGGTTCTCCAGAAGAAGTTCAAAATGTAAAAAGTTAACGACGACGACGACAGACGACGGACGACGGACGCCAAGTGATGAGAAAAGCTCAATTGGCCCCTCGGGCCAGGTGAGCTAAAAAGGCAATAGTTTATTAGCCTTATTTAACGTTTTATTTTTCGTTTAACTTTTATTTATATTGGGCGAATGTGTCAACTTTATTCGGAATTAATTATCAAAGTATATAATAAAGGACTTTTCTGTTATCTTTTGTAGTCTTCAAGATAATGAGGAAAAATGCAAGAAAAAAGTAATAATCGTCATTCGGAGTGCAATAACTCATTTAATGAGTCGACCAACGATTTCTGCCATGTTGTCTTATTTGTAGATATTGTCTTGCTGATGATTTTAGCAAATAACAGTTTCTATCAATTCTATTTTTCAAGATAATATACAAAAATGGAGAAACAAAAAAGGTAAAATCGTCATTTAAGTGCAATAATTTGTATACAAAGTCTCCCTGCGGTTTTGAAAATATTCATCTTGTCTTGCTAAATTTTTATTTATAAAGTTATATCTATCTAATATTGTTTCTAAGATGATAGGCAAAAATGCCCCAAAAAAACCTTTGAAGGGCAATTACTCATAAAAAGAATCGACTACAAATTTCGGCCATTTGACTTATATATAGGTCTTGTTTTGTTGATCATTTATGCTATTTTAAGTTTGTCTCTATCTATTATAATTTTAAAGATAAAAGGCAAACTTTGAATTTCTTTTCTCGAAAAATCGTCATTAAGGACAATAACACCTATCATAAGTCGCCTTACAGTTTTGGCGTAAATAGACAGTAGGTAGATCTCATCATTTTGAACATTTCTGTTTCTGTTTAGCAATGTCGGCCATCTTGATTGGTGGGTGGAATCATCGGACACATTTTGTAAACTAGAGTTAACGGACGACGACGCATGACGGACGCCATGTGATGAGAAAAGCTCACTTGGCCTTTCGGTCCACGTAAGCTAAAATGTGATTATTTGGCCTCTTGAGTACCTTGTATCTTTTCTATATGAAATAACACTAACAATAAGTCTTTTCTGAGAAGTACCCTTGAAAAATTCATACTTGACCACACTCATCATTGGGGTATCTAGTATGAAAAATGTGTCCGATGATCCTGCCTTCCAACCAACATGGCCGACATGGCTAAGAATATAACATACGACATATGGCTAAGAATATAACAGAGGGATACAATGCATGTTTTGTCTATTATCTCGAAAACCACTATAGATAGAGAAAATCTGACAGGGGCTGAAATTTTCAGAATGTTTAGATCTATCTGCTGCCCGTTTACACCAAACTTCAGACGACTCCTTATAGGAGTTATTGTCCTTAAATGAAAATGTGAACCATTCTTTTGCCTATTATCTAGAAACTATGATAGACAGAAAGAAACTAAATCCACAAAAATGATCAGCTTGACAAGATCTACATACAAGTCAACATGGCCGAAATCCTGGGTCAACTCATTATAGGAGTTATTGCCCCTATATGATGATTTTAATTTTTAATTTTTTGCATGTTTGCTTATTATGTCTAAAAATATAATAGATAAAGAGAGCCTTGAAATAGCAAAATTGACCAGCAAGCCAAGATCTACAAATGTGTTAACAAGTCCGAAATCGTTGGTCGACTCCTTATAGGAGTTATTGCTCTTAAAGATCAATTTTACAAAATTTTGCATTGTGGGCTCAAATATAATAATAGGTAAAAAAAAATATAAATAGGAAAAGATCTGCAAATATATCGGAATGGCCGAAATTGTCATTCGACTCCTTATAGGTGATATTGTCCTTTCTTGGTGATTTGGACTCAATATCTGTATATTATGCAAAAATTACAATAGTTTAAGAAAAATTGTAAACAGCAAAAATTAGGAACAATACGAGATCTACAAATGAGTCAACAAAGCTGAAATTGTCAGTTGGCTCCTTATGAGTTGTCTCCCTTGAATGACGATATTTTTTTCTTATTTGTATATGAAAATAAAAATAAAGTAGATAGAAAGGAACCTTAAACAGACGAAATTGTCAATAAAACAAGATCAACAAAAAAGAGATCGTAATCATGAATTATAGTCAAATCTTTAATGATGAAGAGTGACCATAATTGTTGAAAATGCACATTGTGAGCATCAGGCTCTTTAGAACCTCTAGTTTATTACCCCCAGCCTAGTAACAACGGTATATATAGTGATCGTTGTGTATATTACTTGTTTGTTTGACTGTTCTTCCGTCCCTTTGTTCGTTGATTGTGAATTCTCTTCGATGGTTCTCTCCGGGCAACCTACTTCCTACACCAATAAAAACTGTCCGCCTCGATATAGCCATAAGTACTGAAAGTGGCATTTAACACCAACAGTCAATCAATCAATCAAGTGTTTTGATTCGATCATTAATGGTGAGTTTTATGTAGACGAGACCCACACCTGGCGTACTGAATTAGATGAGTGGTATTTTTATGAGTTTTTACAACCACTGAGTCGGTTCCAATGCTGATGGACCTTTCGTCCCTGAGTGTATAACCGGTCAAGAAATCAGCTTGCATGTGCTTATATGAAAAATCATTGATGTTTTCGTTTTTCTGTAAATTTAAAGTTCATAAAACGCTATTATTACGATCATCATTGAAACACTTAAGGTTTTTCAACCCTAGACACAGATAGCCTAAACAATATTTGGATCAAAATAAAAATATGAAGAAATGGTATGATTGTTAATGAGACAACTTTCCACCAGAAATCAAATGACGTAGACGTTAGCAACTAAAGGTTATCGTACGGCCTTCATTAATGAGCAAATTCCATATCGCAAAGCAAGCTATTAAAAGTACCGACATAACAAATGTAAAACAATTCAAACGAGAAAACTAATGGCATGTGTTATGTACATAACAAATCTTCTTTTTTTTAATTTTAGGATTTTAATTGTCTTCATCTTCGTATTTGTAACTGCTCGATTCGCGCGACCTTTTAATGTGTTACGTGCTGAGGTAACGTGTAGACGGAACGCGCATCTGACGTCTATAACTATATGGTTGGCATTTATGGTGCATTCTATTCATATTATTATAGAAAATACCCTTTGAATAAATTATTCAAAAACTTTCATTCATTAAATGAACTATTAAATGTATCTTTATCTTTTCTCTGTGCTGAATCTGTTATATGCTTTGTTTCTCTTATACTGATTTTTCAAACATTTCTATTTGGAAAGTAATAATTTGAGTATTGCATCAGTTTTATTTATTGTTATTGATAAATCATTAAGAATGTTAATTTTAGTCAGTAGATATTCAAGCAAGAATGCAACATATATATTACATTACAAAAAGTCATCATATAAAATAAAAACACTAAAACATGAAGTGAAAACAAATATTTGTGCATTACGATTTGAGGTGCATTACAATTTGCTGTGCATGACAATTTTTTGTGCATAGCAATTGTTTGTGCATTACATTTGTTTATGCATATCATTTGTTTTTGCATCACTATCATATTCAAAACAAAGGACATTTGCTTAGCAAAAGACTAAGTAGAATAAGAGAAAAAGAAAATAACGATGGTCCTATTACTGAAGATTCTGAGGTTATATCTGCCATTTGTAATGTCTCTTCTATCCATTCATTTACAAAAGTATCTAAAATACTCATGGGAACAGCGCCATGTACCAGAATAGTTGAATGGAATTTCTTTATGTCAAATTTTGATCCTGAAATATAAACAGATGATATTATTTTCGGGTTGTTTTTTATAACGACTTTTCATCATGAAAATATATAATGATATTATTCGGAATTAGCTGTTGTTCAACAATTAAAATAAATGACATGAAACAAATACAAATTAGAATGAGAGAGGTTTAAAGTAGCAGAATATTCTTTGTTGTCTCATTGACAACATATTTTTTTAAAGATTTCTACAGATCAATCTAAATAAAATTTATCTTATAGCAGTAAAGGGTTGATAGCTCTCAATTTATCTGATAGCAGTAAAGGGTTGATAGCTCTCAATTTATCTTATAGCAGTAAAGGGTTGATAGCTCTCAATTTATCTAACACCAGTAAAGGGTTGATAGCTCTCAATTTATCTTATAGCAGTAAAGGGTTGATAGCTCTCAATTTATCTTATAGCAGTAAAGGGTTGATAGCTCTCAATCTTATAGCAGTAAAGGGTTGATAGCTCTCAATTTATCTAATAACAGTAAAGGGTTGATAGCTCTCGGTTAATCTAATAGCAGTAAAGAGTTGACAGCTCTCAATTTAAACCATAAAAGATAGATAATCACCAAGGAATTATTTTAAATATGCAGTGTCAGTTTTTTGTTGTAGGTATTGACAGTTTGACTGTACATTTTCGTATATACATTATATATGTTTATTATCCTCCTAAATGGACTAAAAGTTGGGTTACAATCCTTGGACAAGGGAACCTAAATTATATAATTGGAATAAAACTGGTGTTACAATCCACGGGGAAGTCGATATTTATCAGAGTTTAGATGGTTTGTTCAGGCTTATTTAGTGTTGTTGCTCTCAACAGTTATATTTTGACCTGTTATTATTATCTCCAACATACCTAATAAAATTTAATTTATAAAACATTAACACTCTTGTATTCACTATAATCGGTATTATAAATTGTATTAACGTCACAAACCTAAACGTGTTTCTGCTTTCTTTCTCAACTCTTTTATTTTGATCTCTCCTAATTTGTACGCACAAGCTTGTCCAGGCCATGTGACATATCTATCAACCTCAATCTCGGTTGCTTCCCTTGCATAGGCTGTGTAATTCATCATATATTCAACCGCTTTTTGTCGATCCCATCTACCAAGACATCATTAAATGATATTTACATCTATTTATATTTATATCCTAGCATGATTGATTGGTATTTAATGCCACTTTCAGCACTATTGCGCTATTTCGTGTAGGTCTGAGTTATTAAAGATGGAGGATACCGGAGAATACCACCGACCTTTGGTATGAAAACTGACATTCCTAGTCAATTAATATTGGAGTCGAAAGTGCATATATATATCTCCTAGCATAATTGAAGACTAATCGTAAAACGTTTTAGTACAAAGTGGTATAATCGATCCTGAACTATGAACGGAACAGTATTACAGTTTAATATATCCTTAACTTTAAATATTAGTGGTTTTACCTTTCACTTAAATAAAGTAACTGCTCCGTGAGATTAGCATCACAAATTTACAATTTTTCTTTACATGTATTCGGGTTATGTATGTAAATAGTTTTTTTTACAGATCCGTGAGCAAAACAGTTACCCACTCAAAACAGTTACCCACTCAAAACAGTTACCCACTCAAAACAGTTACCCACTCAAAACAGTTACCCACTCAAAACAATTAAAGTTAACTTTTGCTCAGCTTACTCATAAACAAGCCCGTAATATTTACTTACCCATAATGATGAAGACCTGTGTCAACAACCAATCGACAAGCCCGTAGTATTTCACCACTGTAACGTCCTAACCTTAAAAAATATCAGAAATATACAACCCATAGTTAGTCCGTTTACAGTGGGTACTTTTTAATAAATTGAAGATAAAGATTTTTCATTTGAGTTTAGAAAACGATGCTGTTGTAATTTTCATACTTCAAATATTTTAGAACGTACTTCAAACATTCTATAACAAATTTGCCTAACATTAAATGATAGCTAACTGAAAATATGTTTTTCCGTATCCTTTAGATTTTTGAACTTAAGTATTATATTATTGTCACTTGGTTTTACCAATATCAAAATATCAATCGATATTATTTTCATCGTCGCTGGAAGAGATGTAACTCGAGCTTCATTTCTTCTCGTAAATCGACTAATCAATTTTTTGTTTTTAAAATAAGTTATCAAAGATACCTGCTTATAATGAGTACATAGAACAGGCATTCAATCTACACAAGACTCATCAGCTGCTCTTGGCTTCTTATCTGACTAGCGGCAAAATGGTAACTTACATTTCATAATCATCTGCATATAAACCCATTTCTACGCATAGATACACAGAATACAATGATAACTTACATTTCATAATCATCTGCATATAAACCCATTTCTACGCATAGATACACAGAATACAATGATAACTTACATTTCATAATCATCTGCATATAAACCAATTTCTACGCATAGATATTCAGAATACAATGATAACTTACATTTCATAATCATCTGCATATAAACCCATTTCAACACCTAGATATTCAGAATACAATGATAACTTACATTTCATAATCATCTGCATATAAACCCATTTCAACACCTAGATATTCAGAATACAATGATAACTTACATTTCATAATCATCTGCATATAAACCCATTTCAACACCTAGATATTCAGAATACAATGCCCAACCCTAAAAATTATGAAAAATGACAATAAACAAAACAAGGCATGTCACTTATAGCATGCAGATGTTCTTTTTAATATTATATTTCCTTTTGACCGAAGGAATCAGAATATTGTAATTTGCAATTACCCCCTGTTTTAACAGTATAAATAAATAAAAAGTCATAGATACAAAACAATGTAAAATAGCTTATAATACAGTTAAGCTTTTATAACATCGTATTAAACTATTCAGTAGAATTTAGTTATTCAAAATATTAGTAATGAATCAATTTCGGAACGTGATAAAGTATGCGAGATTTAAAACATCATAGCTGAAACCACAAATAAGGAGATGCTCTAACAGTATTTATGGGTACATTAGCTAGGATTTAGACACATAAATTGAAATTTGACTTTTTTTTGTTTCAGACATTTATAAAAGCGGAATTTTTTTTTTTTTTTTTGGTATAAGCAACCACTGCGGTACAATTTTGTCAAAATAAGCTGAATAATATCGCTACCAATAATTCAACCACATTTGAATTCGTATTTGACATGCAACCTTCAAATTTACCCTTAGCTGTAGACGGGTTACGCATGTGCTAAGCGTGTTCAGTTATTAAAAAGAAAAGAATGTCAACATGGAAATGTGAAACAAGGGATCAAGCAAAAAGAACCATTTGGTTGACTGATTCGGTCCACAAAAGTATCATCCATATACAGATAAATCAATGATTTACATTTTTCTTCAATTTATGGCAAGAAATCAAACTGCTCTAGAAAAATTGCACGTTCTTGTCAGTCTATTTATATTTATGTTTAAATCGGGTTGTACATTTGTAACTTCCGGTCCATTTCCTGTCAGAAAAACATTGAAAATATCCGATTGTGCATGGTTTTGAACAAAATGACCTGAATATTCTTATCCGATTTGCCAATATATTCTTTTATCCGATATTCGATTACACGATCAAATTAACATTAAACATATAGGGAATGGTTTGGTGTTTTGAAATAATATTACAATAGCCGATATATTCGTTTAGCCGATATCCGATTAGGTGGAGTCTACTGAATGACCATCGACGGTCTTCGGAGGTCATCTTGATTGTTAATTCGATGGCGTCTAGTCTGAAATACGCACGAAGTGTTGATACATTGTAACCAAGTCCATGCATTGTTAATTGCTTCGGACTTTTTGCAATTTGGATATACGTTTTAGTATGTTAAAAATTAAATATAAGAATTTAAGTAAAATCAGTGATCATGAATTTGACAGCTAAAGCACCTTTAAAAAGAACATCAACAGCTGAAATAGTCCTACAAAGTAACTTAGTTTCTAACTCTCGCGAATAACAGGGGTAAATTCACAAACAATTTCATTATATGTAATCCGTGCAAACATTAAAATTTTCAATGAGCCTGGCGGTTTCTACAAGAAAGCTAAATTTAGAAAAAAAATATTTACTTTATAAAGGACGGCGATAAAATCAACAAATGTTCGAAAAACGTTATTTGAAGGAATGAACGTTGACAACAACTCTGATGTCTGCTTTGACTCATTTATCCTTCTCAGTTTTTGTACAAATCGCAGACATGTTTTCTATAAATTGGCCTTTTGGAGCCACAAAGATGATTTTGCTTATTACTATATATAGAAATAACCTCTGAATAAGCTGAATAAAACGGAAACCAAAATGGAACATCATAAAATGAAATTTCTGTATGTTGTCTGTATTCCGGTAGAGCTGCCTTCATTGCATAACTATGCTGGAAAATAAAAATTTTAAAAGTTACTGCTAAAATATTTTCAAATGGAGGATCTTATTTTCCTCAAACAGCTCATTTATAGTTCCCGTCAAACTGTATCTTCTTTTCATATACATTATCCATTACGTTTTGCGTATGATCTAATATAATGCATGGTTATCGTACTGTACAAAAAAAAAAGAGTTCAAGAAAGTCTGGTGTCACCACATGTATCATAATAATCGGTCAGGTAAAGTCTTAGAAGGAGACGCTTACCCTGTAAACACAGTCTTTCTCGTTTCTTTGTTGTTTATGCTTACCCTGTCGACACAGCCGGTCTCGTTCCTTTGTTGTTCATGCTTACCCTGTCGACACAGCCGGTCTCGTTCCTTTGTTGTTCCTGCTTACCTTGTCGACACAGCCGGTCACGTTCGTTTGTTGTTCATGCTTACCCTGTCGACAAAGCCGGTCATGTAAAGTCTTAGCAGGAGACGCTTTCCCTGTCGACACAGTCGGTCACGTTCCTTTGTTGTTCATGCTAACCCAGTCGACAGCCGGTCAGGTAAAGTCTTAGCAGTAGGCGCTTACCCTGTCGACACAGCCGATCACGTTCCTTTGTTGTTCGTGCCTACCCTGTCGACACAGCCGGTCTCGTTCCTTTGTTGTTCATGCTTACCCTGTCGGCACAGCCGATCTCGTTCCTTTGTTGTTCATGCTTACCCTGTCGACACAGCCGGTCAGGTAAAGTCTTAGCAGGAGACGCTTACCCTGTCGACACAGCCGGTCACGTTCCTTTGTTGTTCATGCTTACCCTGTCAACACAGCCGGTCAGGTAAAGTCTTAGCAGGAGACGCTTACCCTGTCGACACAGCCGGTCACTATAAGTTATCTACGTTCATATCTACGGATATGAACGTAGATAACGAATTTATCCCCGGTCTTAGTCTAAATCTGGCGATTTTTAGAGAAATTCGATCACAAAGTTTAACGTGAAAGCAAAGTTTTTTTAATTTGTCAAGAATTTCAATAACGGCCGGGTACCAGTCTATAACGTCCGGGGATATGGGTTAGCAACATCCAGGGGCTATGGGTTTTGTAACGACGTGCGTTAACCAATAAAACTCCTAGAAATATACTAAGCCGGGGATAAGTTCCTTTGTTGTTCATGCTTATCCTGTCGACACAGCCGGTCTCATTCCTTTGTTGTTCATGTTTACCCTGTCGACACAGCCGGTCTCGTCCCTTTGTTGTTCCTGCGATTCTCTCAGTGTTTTGTTCGTTAACTACTAGATTTGTACCTTCCTGGTCGATTTCTAAGATTTGAACATCGGTAAACTACTATTTAAGCACAATAACCAACAAACAAACAAAAAAATAAAACTGTTCGTTTTCAAATCCATTTTAAATCCCCGATTCGCAGACATTTTATTTCAGAATTGCCGTTAGTATTGCTCTCTCACATTGAATAGCAGTGCAAAATCACACTACTGGTACTGCAAAATCACAATCCTGTTACCGAAATATAACACTATATCACATTGTCAGTACCAAAATACCAATGAAATTCGGTATTAGTAAAAGAACATCATAACTACAGGTACGGAAATTATATTTTAAAAAGAATGAATGAAGTGTTTAAGTTCATAATTTATAAAAATCCTTGGCAACAGATACTTTTTCGATTACTTAGTACTTTGTTTTCGGAAGTTTTACGGACGTCACAATGATTAAGGTGACCGTTATAGAATTTCTTTGTCACAAATGACCACGGTTATGTTGAAATTATCAAATCTATTATAATTCCTTCCTCTTTCCATCGGTTGTTACATCACCGAATGATTATATCAATGAAGTTGTACTTGTCAGGAGCAGCTTGACAGGTGTCATATGTGGAGCAGGATTTGTTCACCCTTCCTCTAGGTCTCGTTTGCTTAGTTTTCTATGTAGTGCTTTGTGGAATATTATTTTTCGTTTCGTCGTTTTTTCGGTTGCTTTTTTTTTGTTGCCATGGTGTTGTTGGTTTTTATTCGACTTGGTAACTTCTGCTTCTTTTGTTAATGAAAACAACCAATGCCATTGCCAAAATGACATTGGTTTAGTTGTCATAAAACATTTATTTGTCCAATGGTTTTAACCTGCTATCATTATAAAAATAAGGAAATGAGGTATGATTGCCAATGAGACAAATATCCACCAAAGTTCAAATGAAGTGGATGCAAGCAATTATAGGCAACCGTACGGCCTTCAACAATGAGAAAAACCCTTACCGTATAGTCGGCTATAAAAGGCCCCAACATGAAAAATATGAAACAATTCAATTGAGAAAACTAACGGCCTAATTCATAACAAAACAATTTACGTAAAACAAATATGACAGATATGAACCAACGACAACCACTGACCTAGAGGCTCCTGACTTGGGAAAGGTACATAAAGAATGTGGCGCGGGGGGTTAAACTTGTTTGATAGCGCTCAACCCTCCCCTAACCTTGAACGTGGTGTAACAGCACAACATAAGAACAAACTATGAAAATCAGATGAAAGGCTTAACTCATCAGATCGATACAAAGCAGAAAAACGTTTAACATAAACACAGACTGGACGTGGCAGGGTATTTATCCATCCATTATCCCTAACAACAACAAGGACACTAAGTACAGATCTGAGAGTACTCTCAGTTACTGACAGCTAGTTCAAAGCCAATAACAACTAATGAAAAAAATCATGTATCTAAGACTAAAAATATCAATCAGTACACATCCAACATCCAATGCATTTAGTGTAAAGACGTCATTAACAGTCAAAGAGAAACATGACCTTGTACAATGCCAAAATAAAGGTATCGACAGATTGTAGTACCGTTAAAGTGCATATGTGTATAACAAAACTACTTATTATGATTTTACTTCACTGGTAACAAAATCAATACTTATACCAATAAAAACAATATTCAAAGATCTAATTACAGTGTTGAATTGGTAACCTTTTAGAATAAGTTTATTTAAAGAATTGATAAGTTTACCCGAATCATCACTGCTGTATAGCACCATCAGAGTAACTTACTTGTAAATGATGCCCTGGACTTGCCTCGTGTAAACTAAGCGCCATATAATCAAATGTTGGACTGAAACGAAAGAATTTTAGTTTTTACCAATGTAGGTTATGAACTGGTTTACCTTCGCAAATACTTTAATGTGCATACCAAATTAATAAAATGTAGGTTATGAATTGGTTTACCTTAGCAAATACTTTAATTTGCATACCAAATTAATGATAAATTCAGTACTTCAATTCAATATTTATTTAAATCTCATCTCTCAATAATAAATGTCATGTTACTATTAGTATTATTTAAAGTCCGTTTAAACATGAAAGTTGATTGCTGAATTTACTTTCAACTCTTTCAGGAAAACTGTTTTATTTGGATTTTATATAACTGCGATCATTTCAAGTCATTAAAGAAATTGAGCCACTAAACTCCCTAAAGATACTTTAATTTTGACAGAATGTACTGTAAAAGTAATGTTACCTCTCTGACGGTCGGATGAGATTGATCCAAAATACGCCTGGCCTCGTTTCCGAAGCTGATGAATACCCTCCACCTGGACCATCATACGTCATTTCCTTTATTCTAAATATACATTTTAGTTATTTATAAACTAATACAGTTTATTATGTATTCATGCAAATTTGAGAGAAGATTTGAGATTTGAGATTATAGTTCAGCTATTAACAACAGTGCTAGGGAGTAAAAAGTGCATAAAGTATTTCATTCCTCTTTAAGTGATCAAATATTGCAGACTAAAATGGTTTACGTTATAATTTACTAATATAGTAACATAAACTAGACTAATTTTACTGCACCAGATCATACGCATTTCAATAATTAATATTTCTTTAGAGATGTTCGAGGTCGAAATACCTTATACAAACCCTTAAGATCTAATAAAACAAAACAAAAAAAAAAGAAAATCCGGATCTGAAAAAAAACATCAGACTTATGCATAAGGGAGATACATTCCTTGTATAAACTGAAGTGTTAAAAGCTAACAAAAACACTTAGAAAACATGATGCAGATGACAATGTATCACTTAGTCTGGTCTTCTGGTCAAATATCATTACTTTCTTTGAACACAAATATACTGTTAATACCAAAGCTTGTCATGTCGGTCCTTTTAAAGCTTTTCACAGTATGGGTTTTGCTCATTGTTGAAGGCCGTGTGGTAACATATTGTTGCTTTCATCTACGACATTTTCTTTTTTGAGGATAGTTGTCTCTTTGGCAATCATACAAAATCTTTTTATCTTATAGTACCATTAAAGAGTGATTAAGATCCACATATACATAAGTAAAGGTTTTTGATGGCTTGTATATTTGTAGAAAAATAATAAAAGCTTATTTCATTACAATAGTCTTTCAGAGACATTAGAAATTTTTTATAATCAATGAAAACCTTTCTACAATTCGAGCTTTATAACTTGTTCGATTTAAAAAGAATGACTGCTTACTGTGAAGAAACCTCAGGCTACTTACAGTAAAAGGACTTCAGGGGCTACTTACTGTAAAGGGACTTCGGGCTACTTACTGTAAAGGGACATCAGGAATGTTCTCAAAGTAATCTTGAAGTTTTGGAGTTATCTTGCTGTAAACAATGTCCTTGTATATTTCTAGTATTACACTCTGAAATGAAGTTTGGTGCTTTACAATTTTACTTTCTTGACTAATTTTTAAAGGATTTCATGCTATCAAAGTTAAACTAAAGCAGCATAATTACTCTCCCTTGATTTGGGACAGGTGAAAGATTATTTGTACCAGACAATTAATGATTCCTTCAATAAAGTATAATTACTCTATAATAAATGCTTTTTTGGCCTTTTTAACTTTTTTGATCAAGCGTCACTGCTGATTCTCTTGTAGACGAAACGCGCGCCTGGCATATAAAATTTTAATCCTTGTGTCTATGATGAGTTTATTTATGACAGGTACTTGTGTAAGATAGAAATGGTGCTGCAGAAATAACACTTTTTATAGTACAAGTGTACTTAAATCAATTCGTGTTGGTGCACTGTGTTCTTTATTATTATATGCACTTACAGTATTCGTGTGATAAAACCTTGAATCATTTTTCAACACGTCAAAAAACTCTTTGACAGTACCAGTAAATCCTAGTCGTCTAACAAGCTGTCAAAAAAAAGAAATATTTTTTTCTGACTCCAACAAACTATACTGTATATATAACGTATAACAATGGAACGATCTGATTATGATGAAAATCAGCTGTTTCTTTTCTCCTATTGTATGCTTCATACTACGCAACGCACTAAAATTATAATTGTAGACAAACAATTAGCTAATTTTAATCAGATTAAAAATGAAATAAAATATAGTCTATAATAATTTAAATGATCACCTGTAATAGATGTATATATTTATATCATAATTTCAAGTGCAAAGTGAGTATTCAATGTACATTATAAAAATAATGAGGTGTGGTGTGATTGCTAATGAGACAACTATCCACCGAAGTTCAAATAAAGTGTAGGTAAGCATTTTATGGTATACTTGTCATTTTTTTCTAAATAATTCCTCGATAATATAATACTATTTAGTTTCTATATTTTGTTTGATGTTTGTTTTCGTTGTTTATTTTTTTATTTTTTATTTGTTTATTTTTTGTATATTTTAATTTTTGTATTTTTGTACATTTTTATAAGGGGGATCATGTCTATATTATATATCTATGCTTTATATCATGTTTGCTATGATAATGTCATACCCTGTATGATTGATATGTTACTTTGTTTTACACATGCATAAATGTTAATTGGGCTTCTTCAAAAGGTGCAATAGATCGAGGGTGAGGGTGTGTGCTTCGTTTAGGCATTTGCAGAAGATAAGAATTATCACTCTTTTTCAGTGTAATAATTAGAATGCATATTCTTACCTTGACCATTTCTGAGTGTATGCGTTCAACTTCTTGTAGACCTATTTGGTGGACTTCTTCGGGGGACATGTCATAGGAAAGATGCCATCTTAAACATGCCTGGTAATAACGTTTCCCGTCGGCCATGCTAGAAAGCCCCAGGCCAACTCTTGTATGCGGCATATATTCCTGTAAAATCACCAAAAATAAAGATTTTGTTTCTATTCCTTTATTTGCCATGTTAATCGCCATGTTGATTGGTCGTTTTTTAAATGATCTTTCTTTTAATGAAGATGATATTTAAAAAGACAAAAAAAATAATGATTTAGTCTTCCTACATCACTTAACAACGAAAAAGACTGTGGCCAAAAAGATAAGATCAATTTCACTTATATTTGTTTTCTCGTTGTGTCAATGTGTTGATGACTGCCAATGAGACAACTATCCACCAGTGACCATAGGGTGAGGCTGTAACTTCAATGATGAGAAAAACTGATACTGTAGAGTGACATAACAAAATATGAAACAATTCAAAATAGAAAACCAACGACCTGATTTATGCTAAAAGAGAGACTAAAGATACCAAAGGGATATTCAAACTCATAATTAGAAAACAAACTGACAACGCCATTGCAAAAAAAATAAGAAAAAAAAACAAACAACATTCTACAATACACAACATATAAAACTAAAGACTGAGCAACACGAACGGGGATCATATCGGATGTTCCGGAAGGGTAACCAGATTCTTCTCCACGTGTGGCACCTGTCGTGTTGCTAATGTTAGTACCAATTCGATGATGTCACATTCGAGAAAAAGAGAACAGGATTGTGGTTTAAACACCTACTATAATTCACAAGTCAGAATATATTCTGAAGGAGGTAATGATTTACAATCCAGAATATATACTTACATCAATAATGAAACTACGAAGTGTTCTGTAGGCTGTTATTGTTCTGTTGGTTGCTAGCAATGTCCTTATTCTTAAGTCAGTTCTTGTATAAAAGAAATAACAGAAACATTTAAAAATACATATAAACATACCTACCAATTAAAGTGTCAGAATGTGGTATGGTCCTCCACGAAAACATATGAACACATTGTGTATAGAAGTAGACATGGCTTCAACATGATTTATAATATATATCTTTTATAATTTTTCCGTTTATTAATTGAAATTTTTAAGAAACCAAGGTTTGAACAACCTAAGGCAAAAAGGTATTCAAACTCCCCTTTTCTTCATGTAGCTCATTAAGTATTCAAACTCTCCTTTTCTTCATGTAGCTCATTAAGTATTCAAACTCTCCTTTTCTTCATGTAGCTCATTAAGTATTCAAACTCTCCTTTTCGTCATGTAGCTCATTAAGTATTCAAACTCTCCTTTTCTTCATGTAGCTCATTAAGTATACAAACTCTCCTTTTCTTCATGTACCTCATTAAGTATTCAAACTCTCCTTTTCTTCATGTAGCTCATTAAGTATACAAACTCTCCTTTTCTTCATGTAGCTCATTAAGTATTCAAACTCTCCTTTTCTTCATGTAGCTCATTAAGTATACAAACTCTCCTTTTCTTCATGTAGCTCATTAAGTATTCAAACTCTCCTTTCTTCATGTAGCTCATTAAGTATTCAAACTCTCCTTTTCTTCATGTAGCTCATTAAGTATTCAAACTCTCCTTTTCTTCATGTAGCTCATTAAGTATTCAAACTCTCCTTTTCTTCATGTAGCTCATTAAGTATTCAAACTCTCCTTTTCTTCATGTAGCTCATTAAGTATTCAAACTCTCCTTTTCTTCATGTAGCTCATTTTAAGTATTCACCTCGGTTTTTGTGGGTTTGAGTGTTCCTGGTAAAGGTAAGTTCAGGAAACAGCTTCAGACGCACCAAATTTATAAAGTGTTATTTTTTCATTTTCAATAATATTCATAAAATATACTGACGGACTACACTAGATTATTCTTTTTAATTCTCATTTTCAAATATGCAATTGTTGTAAAATAAATGTATAAACATAAATTTCATTTATTACCCCATTGTCTAAAATAAGTTTTGCGTTGAATTGATTACGTCATGTTTAGTCATTTCAGTATTTGGGAAACATTTATGGCGTAAATCTGTCTGCCATGGCATTTGACGACTTGAAAAGAAGTTGAATATGTGTTGCGTTTTAAAGTCCGTCAGTATATGTTGAGTATACTGTCATTTCGTTTCAACACAAAATGTTAAAACTACACAATTTAGTGTTATAATTCAAATAAACAACTGTACTATAAAAATTGGTAACAGCAAAGATAATCGGAACTTGGTTCATAATAAGAGACTTTCTCTAATACCAACAGAAACCAAAACTACTAAAAGACCAGAACTATTTTGTAATACGTGCATATTACAAAGTATAGAAATATCAATTTCTTTACATATTGGCAATGATCTTAAGGCATAGAATGTATGTGTAAAATTATTCTTGAATTAAACTCACTTGTCAGTTTCGTCAATATTATCAATGACGGATAACGTGTAATTTATACCAACAAAGAACGTCGAATCACTCGGCTCTACCAACAATTCATTTATATCATCTTTTACTTTGTTCTGAAATCATTGTAAGATAACAAAGGGGCACATGTACACTTGAAATTAACAAATATAACAAAATTACAGTTATCAAAGACACGTTGTACCAGTTTGTTTATCGGAATTGTAGTGCAGTCCATCGAGATTACCATTATAGGCCCTAACCATACAGTATTTTCTGTCGGGTTATCAAACATATGTCTTAATTAGACCGTTGGTTATCTTTTAGATAATATTGGATCTGTATCATGCCAAGAGATTGTCGGGGAATTTATAACAGTATTTGTCATATCCTTTGCCAATGGACGAGGTTATGCTTTTTTGGGCTTCTTTGTTAAATATTTGTTTGTTTTTGTTGTGATTAAGATTGTGACACGGTGTTGACTGCTGTACCCCTATTTTGACATTTTTACCTATTATGTCTGTTTGTTTTATTCACGCATCGTTGTCAGTATAATGGAATTTGATGCGACTGTCATACAAGTGAGAGGTTTAGCGCTATAAAACCTGGTTCAATCCACCATTTTCTACATAAGAAAATGCCTGTACCAAGTCGGGAATATGACAGTTGTTGTCCATTCGTTTGATGTGTTTGTGCTTTTGATTTTGTCATTTGATTAGGGACTTTCCGTTTTAAATTTTCCTCGGAGTTCAGTATTTTTGTGATTTAACTTTTTGCCTGTTATAGTTTTTAATATGTTAGTAACCCCCACCGCTTAGTTCTTTGGTGTATAGATGACATCTGGCAAAACAATACGCTCAAACCGGTGCTTCAACTTGAAATGAGGTGTAGTGTCTGCGACATATTGAAGCCTCGCTATGACCTTGAGATGAAGAATGGTATTTAAAGCGACCAAAATTCCTTTTCTTTTCGTTTTTTTTTCGAGTGCTTGTTCTGAATTTGTGTCAAGGATCAATCAGCCATATACTATTTTTCATTATATTAACATTATTTTTTTTCTCTCACGAGGTTCATGTGTTGTGTTATATTTTGACAGTCATGACGAGAGTTTTACTTCTTTAGGTAACTTCTCGTGTGTATTACTTAATTTTCTATATTTCTGTATTTCCTTTCCATTATTGATGCACTAATCTGTAGATTTAAAGTACATATATATAAAGTCATCTGTTAACAATAAGAAACCCAAAGCGCTTACATCTTACATGTTATCAGAGGCGCAAAACAGATACATGTATGAAGTCAATCTGTCGTAGAACTGGAGAGATATAACACGAAAATATAATAAGTTCTCCCAACATTTTGAAAAATTCCAAGAATCGGCAGACAGAAATAGGTGTCTAACAGATCCGAAAAGCATTCACACGGTACATGTCATTTTTGCTACCAATGTTAAAAACTTTTATGCCATAAATGATGAAGTTTGATCACCAAATCTCTATACAACTATCTTAAAGTTGAAAATAAAAAGTTAAGTATGAGTATAAATACTTACAATTGACACAAAGTTGTATGTTCTGTTCAGCTTAATTGCCTCTTTAAAACTATTTATAATTTCGTTTATCTATAAAACGGAAAAGAAATTTAATTAAAGTTGAAATTCATATAACAACCCGATAGCTGTTATGCAAGAAACAAGTGCTGTGTAATTTATGTAAATAACACTTTTAATAATTTCGTGTTACGTCTGAAGCGGTTTTCAGAGTTAACCTTCATCGGGTAGAAATTCATGGAAGTATTAATATGAATACATAATAAGAGTAAGAGAGAAATTTTCGTAAATATTCTCCGTGATTTACACCTAGGATTTTAGATGACAGTTTGGTATTCCAAGAATATATTGAAAGTCTACAGAAGATCGTTAAACGTGACAATCAGACAATTTTTACATTTCCTTTATTATTTAAAACAGCATATAGTTGTGTTAGACATGTTTTCATAGCCTGTCGGAAAGATTTTCCAGCCACTTCTAATCTTCGATATGTACTGAAACCCAATCAGTTTTATGTAAGGTAAATCGAAAAAAAAAATTCAGAGCATCAGTTTTTTGTCTTCAATCTTTAAAATATTAAGCCTTGAAATAGGTAGGATATATATATACAGATCTTGCCAAGAGGAACTTTTGGTAACTCCTCGTAATTTTTAGGGCGAGCTCATTATAGTACAATATAAATTAAAGACTGAAGGGGACCGTTCAAAAAGACAATGAGATGGAGTATTGCTCACAGCAATGCAGGTTATATTAAAAAAAAAAGCATAACCCTTACCATGCCAACAACTGGTTTTAGAATAAATATGTTTATTTCCGATGCAAAGACCCTATGAGTGAATCAATATCAATTAAAAAAATACCATCTTTAATGACTTGACAACAGTATCGTAACTATATCCCTTGTGAATATGTCTGTTTAAAGGTTTGGTAAGCGTTTGAGGTGAATGACATTTTTGTGCTTTGTATATAATATTACCATAAAAGATGGGATGTGAAATACCTGAACATATAAGATGTCTGCACGTTGGTTTATATTAACGAATGATATCTTGTAGCAATGATAAAATTTAGTAAAAATTTTGACAAGTTTGTGATATCAAACACCCTGGTGTAATATTTTTTTTCAGTAATACAGAGATTTTTTCGATAAAATCCAATATATTGTTACATACACGAGCGAATCGAACAAGTTGAGATAAATAAACAGCATACGATGGTGCTGAGGGAACGTCAACATCTAAAAAAAGATAATTAACAATAGGAAATGAAAAATCATCTCTTCCATCGTAAAGTATAGTATTAATCTTCCCGTTAGAGATATAGATATCGAGATCCAGGAAAGGGCAGTGTTCATTGATAGTATTAGCTTTATTTAAAGTATATGATATATAAAGAACACAGGAGACCACATAAAGTGACATTCCTGATCTTTCAATGTACAAAATTACTATAGGAGAAAAGTATGGCTACAGATTCTATCAAAATATAATGGGACAGCTAATAATCTATTGTATCTTCTGAGAACCATAGTTAACTTAGGTGTTCTTTCCGACAGCTTATAATCTTTGGTATCTACTGAGAACCATAGTTAACTTAGGTGCTCTTTCCGACAGCTTATAATCTTTGGTATCTACTGAGAACCATAGTTAACTTATGTGTTTTATTTTGCTTTAAGCTACAGAACGTTTCATCTATTTTCTTCCAAAATAATCGTTTAAGAGTGAACCTATTCAATTTTATGCCAGAAACAGAAACGGATATTATACGTGTTGAAAGTGTTTTTGAGGTGGATTTTTTTTTTAGAAAAAAACCTTTCTTAGATTCATATATAAACCTTATCTAAAGGTTGTTCTTACTTGATCTGGAATATTATTGAGTCTAACAATGTAGTTCTCAAAATCTCCTCTTGACCGGGTTGCTGCCATTGCTGCTGAGTAATATATATGGATTCCTTCTAAGTTATTTATAGGATTTAATGCTCCATACCTGAAGTACATCAATGATTGAATAGGGTTACAGTTAATTGTACTTAATTCAAGAGTCCAGTTACTGATGAAACTAGTATTCATCTTTCAATTGACATGTTAAAAAATATCATTTTATCTTGGGGTTATATGCTTAAATGCAGCTACTTCAGAAAATCACAGTAAGAAAAAGAAATTGGTCTTTTTTACATGCATAATTGTCGTAATCAACAGATTATTTATGTCCATGTATCTGTCAGGGGACACAATAGAAAATGTTGTGTTTACAGAACCCTAAATCTTAAATCAAACACCCAGAAGGCACACAGTTTTTTTTTGTCTGTGGGGAACGACTAGCTAGACTGCGCGGGATGTATAAATACACAGCCACAATCGGTTGCATGGAATAGACGTTTACCTCGTAATTTTTTGTAGGGAACGCAACTTTCTCTCTAGCATGTTAAATGACCATTGAAACAAATTCTTGGGAGATTCAAGTCAAATTTCTGTCAAGACACTCTCGTTTTTAGTGACAGTCTAAATTTCCAACCTACTATCCAGGTCGACCAACTTTTTAAAGCCTAACTAATAATATATTTCAATAATTATAGTGTATACTGAAGATAGCTTTGAATAATCACATTAAGAATGTGGCTGGATTTATCATGTGTGTGATCGCTAACTCCCTATTTAGTGATGAAACACTACACGTCAACATTAGAAAAAACTGTAAAAAATAGACTTATAAAGACCGTGAGAAAACACAAAAACAACTAACTAAGGATAAAAGGACATGCAGTGTCGATTCATTTGTACTAGTCACTGAAAGCTTGTTTGAAGTTTTATTTATAAGTTTAGAAGGGAAGTTACAATGGATACCAATACAGACTAAATATAATATTCAACAGACAAAAGACAGGCGGAGACTTTTAGAATTATCTAAGGCATCAGATATAAGGTTCATTGACCTTTCTAAATCGTCTATTAAAGGCACCAGATATATTACATGTAGGAAAGGAACACTTCATCATTAGCAAAGTGTCATAAATATCTACTTACAATGCAAATTCGTATCCATTGATGTATGTTTGAAATGTGTCTTTAAGAATTAAGTAGTTAACTCTTTCTGATGGCGGTAAACTAGTTTCTTGTATAGTGTTAATATCATCTAAGAACTGTTGAACTCTGTCCTAAAACAAAAACAAAAATTATATTCGTCGTGTAGTCATATGGTCAAATCTATGGAAGAACCTCCTAAATTATTGAAAACTATCATTCTGCATTGACAATGATATCTTGGTGTAGACTTGATGCACCCATTCAGGCTAACGTTTCTAGTACTTGAAGTAGGGATTGATAAGTGTTTCTATTTTGGCCGAACGCATTTTATAACTTTTTACTTTTTCGAAATTTCTAATACTATAGTACAGTGTACGGATGGCTGAACGATATCTCAACCTTTTTTCTTAATTTGTGTATTCTTTTTTTCTTCTTTTTTAATTTTTGTTTGCTTGGTTTTGTTTGTTTGTTTGTTTGGGTTTTTTTGGGGGGAAGGGTCATGTTCCTGGTTTTGACATTAATAGAAACAGTTATACGGCGCACAGAATAATTTTAAGTTTTTCTAGTGATTTTCTTGGCCAAAAAAGTAGAGATAATAAAAGACAAAGTTAAGTTTATATAAATATTGGTTTCTGCATGTACAGAAAAAATATCATATTGCTGCAAACTATATCACTCTTTTAACAAAGATTTAAAGTTATGATAAGACAATCAGACTGTTTCAGTTTTTAATATTGCTTTTTTATCCGCATATGATAAGGTATGACATTTATATTGGTAGGATGCGTGTTAATTTTATGTTCAAATAATAAGATAAAAGAATTTACATTGGAATGCTAAGATGTTAGTATTGAAGATAAATTGATAATGTTGACTAAAACAATTTAAAATCTCAAATGGCGAATAACAATTAACGCATGATCATGATCATGACTATGAACGTTCTGCGCACGAGACATGGAAGACAAATCAATAAGACAGTAACCCAACATTACCAAGTACCCATGATGTTGTATAAACTGTCATTGTTTCTGGTATCATTTGATAATGAATGTCTCAAAAGGAAAAGTTCTGTCACGTTTATTTTGGGATTAATATGCTTTAACAATCATACTTACCTTTTTTTGTATGAAGTCTTGTACGCTATATGATCTTAATAAATCATTATATTCGTAGTAACCAAGAAATGTAGAATATTCTGGAGAATCTTTCAGACGCCATTGCCAATATTCTTCCTGAATCGATTCAATTGTTGGTACATATTGTCCGTCTGAAAGTAAATCAGTAACAATACAACTAAATGTGAGAAAGGGAGATATTGTGTATATGTCATAGAGGTCAAAACATATTCTAAAATTAAAAATAAAAACAAAAAGAACCTAAAAACAGCAACGCCATGAAACCAAAAAACACCTCAAGAAGTCAAAAAACAGTTTTCAGCAAAAGACAATTCTAAGACTAAGTGTCTTTATATGTGTGTTAGACTCAGTTCGACATCCGGTCTCTTCTCGACGTCCATTCCTCAAATCGACGTCCATTCCTCTAATCGACGTCCATTCCTCTAATCGACGTCCATTCCTCAAATCGACGTCCAATGTAAAGTCACGTTCTCAAATCAGTGTCCAATATTTTTACCCTCTGCTAGGCCTAATCGACGTTCATTCCTCAAATCGACGTCCATTCTTCAAATCGACGTCCAATGTGAAGTCACGTTCTCGAATCAGTGTCCAATATTTTTACCCTCTGTTAGGCCTAATCGACGTCCAATGTGACGTCATGTATTACCAGAACGACGTCAGATCGATCAGAGACTCCTCTCATCGATGCCCAATATCATTTAACCATTTATTCTATGCTTTATCTTTGTTTATATTATCTGTATCGTTTTGTCTTTGTGAAAAACTGCTAAAGAAACTAATTGTTTTCATGTATCAAACTTTACAAATGTCTTGTTCCTTAAAAAAATATTCATATAAATAAATGACAAGTGGATACATGAATAAAACAATGAGACAACCCAACGACAAAGATAACCGAAAGACATCTAGGGGGCAAAATACAGTCTCAAACACTAGACAGAATAAAGAAGTAGAACTACAATCAATTGTTGAAAAGTATTATTATTTGGACTATTTGAATCTTACATTTTTAACAACTTTTTTAGTTTTATTTTCAACCAACCATTTGCATTCGGAAAATGTTTGTATCAAATCATGAATATGACAGTTGTTTTCATTAAATAGTACGTTGTGACGTTATTGAGTTGTGTTTGTAAAAAGAATTTCGATAAGGTAAGCCAAATATTGGACGTCAACAAAAAAGACGTCGATTAGAGGGGCTTAGTTTTGGCCGTCGATTTGGAATCTTATTTTATTGTGACATCAGATTCGGACGTCGATTTGAGGAACGGACATCGATAAGAGACCAAACGTCGATCTGAGTCCTACATATTTATATATAACTCTAAATCACAATGAATTTCATCTGTTAAAAAATTTGTCACAGTAACTACAAAAGATCTGCAGTCAATACCAGACTCTACTAAACATAGTGGCGGGCCGAATTGAAATTATTTTATTGTTTATTGTACACAACAACTAAACAGAAACCCAACATTACAATCAACGATGTGTCAACATCTAATTTAATTCCCAGTATAGATCAAATTTTGTTAATCATTTGAGTAAGATCAGCAGAAAAGAAAGAATCATAATATCTAAGGCGATACACATCTACAAGTAGATCAATACTAAAAAATTATCATACCTATGAATGCTCGCAGTTACACAATGCTATAAGTAATTAGTCTTTTGATATATGCCGATTTACTTTTAAATAGATTTCATATAGGAATCTTGTTAACTGTATATACGTATATAGAATATTTACCCATAGAATTAAACGTGCGTCTAAAGTTTTTTTTATTACATAATTACCAAGATTTTTTGAGTTAGAAAAAATATGCTTGCTTGCATTTAATGTGGTTTGAACATAGTCTAGTGTTATTGTCTCATTCCAAAGATATGATTAGAAATAATAGGTGGCTAATTTTTAGCATGTTCCTTTTTATCTCAGCAAATACCTTCTTTAATTGTTTATGAAAACCTTTACTACAATATCACTAATAGCTTATTAACAGATTAAAGCAGACTGTGGCCTTATCATATCTTCCTGGGTGTGTCTGATTGGTATTAATACATACCATCATAAGAAAGATGATAATATCTTTACTTATTTTCTTGTTCTAATCAATTTTAATTACTATTGCGGAGTGAAACAATGTAAGTTTATATATTATGGCTTTACTTATTACGGATCGTGTATTCAATTCGCTGTAACCAGTACACATCGGTTGGCTTGACTTACGTGTCATGGGTTACTAGATCATAAGTACTTACCTACGGTGGTAATCAGGATGAAACTATTCAAAATCAAACTGACTAACAGTGCCTAAAAAGATTTATGGTGATTAGTAATTAAATCACACTCTCTATGTGTTAACGAAACATAATAGTACATCTGTTATACTCATGAGATTGTAATCATTTCTTTTATTATCAATTTGGCAACATAAAATCATACAATGCTGCTCTGTCTTTATTTTTTTTAAGTTGCGTCTTGTTGATTGTTTGTCTTTGTGTCGTTTGGTTTTTGCTATGTGTGGTCTGTTTCTTATTGACTTATGATTTTGGTACACTAGTGAATAAAAATAAGGAGATGTGGTATGATTGCCAATGACATAACTATATACCAACGAGCAAACGAACAAGAAATTAGCATTACAGGTCATAGTACGACCTTTAACAATGAGCAAACCCCTTATCGTATTGTACGGTTCTATGTTAACATAAGTAATTCAAAAAGAAATATAACAGCCGGATTTGAGCTAAGCACAGAAAACGAGATAAAAACATTAATGACAGATGTAAGTAACTAACGAAAATCACAGGACTATAGGATCCTCGTTTGGGACAGGCACCAGAGGAATATGGAATATGACTGGTTTAACATAGTCAGTTGTAAACATTTGAGTCTCTCTCTCCCTCTCTTCATCGAGTAACAACCTCCCTTCCACCCCTTCTATTCATTTGAATGAACAAGCTTATACATTTATTTACTTTGCAACGACTGGGGAATATGTAGTCCTTTGCGTACGACATTTTCCATCACGGCAATTAAATAATATCATTTCAACAGCCTCGAAGATTTTATATTCCGGATGTTGCCTCAAGTGTTAGTGCACAGTCAAATAAAAATATTGTTCAAGTAAAGTAAGTGTTCATCCTGTTGGTTTTTTAATGTTCAAGTAACACCCATACCAAATTACATTGACAGTGATGCATAGCCTATATTTTCTCTTATAAACATGTCAAAATTCTATCAAATCAATTTAGTGTGCCGTTGGAACATTCATCAACACATTAAGTAGATTTAAATTAAAATCTTATATTTGTATAACATTTTATAGCTTTATAGAACAATAATCTAATAAACCTTCAAATAATGTAATAAAAGTTAATAAAACTCAATCTTGCAAGTTCTTATGTTTTTATTACAAGTTACTGGCAGTGCACCATGAACTTCATCAAAACTATTTTAATTCAAGAGTGAACACAAGGGGCGTGTTCCCTTAAATGTCTGTAACCAGGTACTACACGAACATTTTTCTCTTTTCTTTTTTTACCTGTTATTTCCTTGTGGAAATTGTGCAAATAAATGATTAAATATTTTTAGTTGAAATAGAGGTTTTTCATCATTTTTGTTACCGTCAACCGATTCCTTTAGAATTTTGACATATTCTCAATTATTAATGATATTTGATCTAAGGACGATAAGACAAGGACATTAGCGGTGTCTTGAAACAATAAATAATATCATGATTTGGAGTTGGGTTTTGTTAGTGTCATTGGCAATGATGTTTGCCCAAAATATACACAGCGGTTTATTGCATTTACAACCTAAATGTACGTATATATCTAGTTTCCAACGAAGCTACAGGAAAAATACCTAATATTAAATAAAGTAGAAGTAGCATTTGCCAGTCTATTTTTTATTTCCCGTAACACTTAAAACATATTCGTTTCTAAAAATATCCTGTAAGATTTTAAAACTTAAACGATTCGATTTCTTTAATTTTCGTTTCGTTATGTAAATATAAATTGATCTGATCTTATCAACTACCCACCCCCCCCCCCCCCCCCCCCCCAAAAAAAAATACCCAAGATCTGCCAAATGAAACGTAACTTTGAAATGTAAAATTGTCAATGTTGGGCCAAAAACCAATAGCCAACTTTCAACATAACACATGAGCAACTGAGATTAAAAGCTTTTGATAACATGAACGTTTAGTTGACCTTTACTGAGACTTTTCATCATTTAATTTTATCACTGGCTAATTGATGGATATCATATTCCCTTCTCATTATCAGTATCAATTATATTATATCTAATAACCTTCCATATTTAACTCGTGTTGGATTTTTCTTAAAATGCTGTTTCTCCGTTGAATTATAACTCCTATCCTGTAAAGAGCTACATTGATTCAAATAACTAATGAACTGGAGTTAAACTCCTACCCTATAAAGAGCTACATTGATTCAAATAATTAATCAACTGGAGTAAACAGTGTAAAAATGCTGGAGTTTAGTTTTATGTATTAATTGGTTTCCACTGGATACACATTATCCACCCTCACTAGCCGACTTATTCGTGTATTAATTGAAAACAGAGTTTATATACAAAAACTTCAAGCAAGACAAAAATGAAACCTTCAGACAAATTCTATGACTTTCAGTTACACAATATTTCACCAAAAGGATAACAAGAATAGCCAAAAATTCCGGACAGCACTAAATACCTCACCAACCACCAACCCCGACTCCTACGAATGAATAATAAACATACAAAAAAAACTACTCTCAGATCTATACTTAGTGTCTTTTTTGTTGTGAGGATGTATAGATACCTTGCCACATCCGGTCTGTGTTTTTGTTGCTTGTTTTTCTGCTTACATCGAACTGATGAGTTTTCAACTGATTTTTTTGTGTGCTGTTACACAACTATCCAAAGTAAGGAAAGGTTTGGGAACCCTCAAACAGATTTAACCCCACCACATTCTGTATGTGCTGTCCCAAGTCAGGAGCTGACTATGCAGTATGGGTTTTACTCATTGTTGAAGATCGTACGGTGACATATAGTTGTTAACTTCTATGTCATTTGGTCACTGGTGAAGTGTTGTCTCAGTGGCAATTATACCACATCTTCTTATTTTTATATTAACAACAACACACGGTCCAGTGTGTTGTGATATAATTCTTAATTGAGTGGTTACATATCCTTTATCTCAGGGGTCTTAGAATTAAGAACATTAGAGAGGTATCACATATTCTAACTACAAATCATAGCTGCTAGTCTTTACAACAATTAATCTCAAACTGATAGTCTTAACAAAATCAGAAAATATATATTATGTCATACCATCTAACTACAAATCTTAACTGGTAGTCTTCATAACAACAAAAAATACATATCATGTTGATAAAGCAGTATCATGCCATCTAACTAACAACATCTTAGCTTCTAGTCTTTACAACAACGATTTTTACAAGTCTGTAACGTAACTATCAGGTTAAATGAATAGATAAAAAAAAAATTCCATGTGGCTACCAAAGAATTTAAATTTAAATTTGTGGTTTCCGATTAACAAACAGAAATAAACGCCCGCTGTAATGACATTTTTGTTGTTTTTGCCGTCAATGGTCGTATCTATCCTTCATCTATTTCAATCTTTCACATTCAGTCTTGTATACGGTTAAGGAAATTCACATCTATATAAAAATAAGGAGATGTGGTATGTTGCCAATGAGACAACTATCCACCAAACTTCAAATGAAGTGGATGTAAGCAATTATAGGCAAACGTACGGCCTTCACTAACGAGAAAAACTCATAACGAATAATCGGCTATAAAAGGCCCCTTGTTCATTTATGAACTGCAATAAGTTCTTAGAATAAGTAACTAAGTTCTCTTATTTAATATTAAAATGGTCCTTTGAAAAATCTTATTGCAGATTAATTGCTGTAACTCATATAAAGCCTCCTTCTGTAACGAAAAAGGAAATATATGCTAGATATTTTAACTGGAACTGTGATGAGATGATTAAAGCTGGTTCATGTCTGTCAAATGTGTTTTTCGTAAATTGAATTGATATTTATTAGGCCGTTAGTTTTTTCGTTTGAATTGTTTTACATATTTCTTCAGGGCCTTTTATAGATAACTTTATTTCGTCAGGGCCTTTTATAGATAACTTTACACTATACGATATGGGATTTTCTCATTGTTGAAGGCCTTACGGTGACCTATAATTGCTTACTCCCACGCCATTTGAATTGGTGGATATTTGTCTCATAGGCAATCATACCACATCTCCTTGTTTTCATAACTAGATATTTTGAGGACTTAACAAGAGACATCAATAAAATAAATAATCTGAATGAAAATACAATAGTACTAACTTCTGGCTTCCTTATAAATGCAAACCATGGCAAGTGTAATAGTCTCTGCATGTTACAGGGAAAAAACCAAAATGGTAACATCACTCAACGTCTAGATATTCTTACATTACATAAATGTTTCATCAGATTCCGTAATTTTGATTGGCAGATAAAACAATCGCAAGCCATTTCAAAAATGTGTTTAATTTCCAAAAATATAAAACATCTATGACTACACGTGTTCTCCATGATAATGTTTCAACAATGCAGAGTAAAACAAACGAAAAATGTTGTTATATCTCATTTGTACAGGTAGACATTCTTATTGATACAGAAAAGCCAAATTCCAGTGGAATCCAACCAAGGGCTTGTTGATGTTGACACTTCGACTGCCATTTTTTAACTGACAAACCGACTTCCGGCGATCGATAATATAGTTTGAATATTCGTGCTGTGCGCAAAACGAAACACCTCCTCTGGTTATATCTCATAGTTGCATAGAAAACGTATTACTAACGTGGTATTATTTGATTTTCTAGAGCCAGTCATGTTTTCCTAGACGGTATGTGACGTCTTTTCCGTTGGGTGTGAACTGATCGATATTTTGACTTTGATACATGATTTTTTAATTTTCTGTTACCAACTTTGAAATAGCTTCAATAAATTCGAGTACTCTCACGTCGGTACTTTGTGTCTTCGGTGTTTTTGTTAGGTTTTTTTTTCGTTGTATCGATCTGATGAGTCAAGCCCTTTTCTACTGATTTTTTGTTTAGTTTGCGCTTGTCCAATGTCATGAGCCTTTATTTTAGTGCATGTCATTTGCACAAGTGGTCGTTTGTTGCTGTTTATCATATTTGTTTTTCATTTGTTGTTTTGTACATAAATCAGGCCGTTTGTTTTTTCATTTGAATCGTTTTACATTTGGTTATGTCGGGAACCTTTATAGTTGCTATGCGGTGTGGGTTTTGCTCTTTGTTGAAGGTCATGCGGTGACATATAGTTACTAGCATTTACGTCATTTGGTTTTTATTCGTAAGTCATGCACATTTCAGTATAACTTACGATCACTTTAATCGTAAGATTGTTTTGTGAAAAGAGTCGCAGGTGGATAATTGTCTCCTGGGCAATCATACTACTTCTCGTTTTATATTACAGCATAACAATGTAATTATAGGTATTGAATGCATCGTTTCGTAATTTTATAGTGTCGTATTATTGAAGCGTTCTTCATGCGCATATTTTTAGTATGCTTCCTTTCAAAGAAATGTGTTTTGGTCAATAATTTTACACTGTTAATCAGTTTCGAATGAAACTTTTTTTCATTCTCATAGGTTTTCTCTTGTTTTCCACAGATTTACGATATCTGACATTTGGTAATTAAGTACATAGATCTTTATTATGTATAATTAGTCAGTATGAGTAATTCACTTAAAGTATTCATCAGTTTAATGTCTAATGTATTTGTGCTAATTCAGCAAATGTGAATGTTCATCAAGGTTACAATGTCTTTTAAAGACCTCAGATTAACTTTTATAGCTTTCTATTCAAATGCTTTTTGAAAAAATGTGATGCTTGACCTAATTCTTTGCTGTGAATAAATAATTGAAAATGAGAGAAAATTATGTATAACGGGTGTTAAAAACTCCATTCTTACAATTATATTCACCGATTAAAGAAAAAAATTACCTGTATTAATTTGAGTTCCATGTCCGTGAAGTATTCTCAATACACGACAGGTGCTTGGCGGTTTCTCCAGAATAAAGTCCCACTACAGGTGCTTGGCGTTTCCTCCAGTTTAAAGTCCCATTAATTTCTGTACGTCGCCAATATGTAATCATAAATTAATGTAAGTATCTATTACCACTATCCATGAGTCTGATAAAATTCATATTTATAATCCATAATGAATCTAAACGAGACAAGTGTTTTAACTAGAACAGATGATGCCTTTGGTAATATAAATGTATTAGGTAATTTTAATTGGCCTTTTTCATGCCTTGTTGAAAATACGAAATAAAACACAGAAGTAGTTTCATCCAGTTCTGATTTTTATATGACCCATAATTATATTTTTTAGCGCGCATTAAGATGTACACGTATGTTTCTTTGTTGCATTTTATACACTGAACGAATTAACCGTGTCATGAAGTTCTAACCTCAGTTCTTGTATCTGACAATATACCATGCTCTGACCTCGTGCCATAACATTTTGAATTATTTTTTCAGTCTATCATTAAAAAAGTTTACAATTATATCAAGTTAAAAAACTCAGCTTTGATATATAACAGGAACAGAAGAATATGCTTTAAAACTATTTATATTTTGAATATTATAAAACTGTGTACGCCATGTATACAATAAAACTAAATGGATCAGGAATATACTTCGTAGGTCTGGTGTATACACTTCGTTGGTCTGGTATATACTTCGAAGGTCTAGTATATACTCCGAAGGTCTAGTTTATTATTTCAAGGTCTAGTATAATATATATGTTGTGTACAAGATGTAATTTTGTACAAATTATAATTTGTACAGGGTTTTTGTACAAGTAATAATTTTTTTGACACATACCTTTTTACACCAGGTGATAAAAGTTTATCTTCTAAAATGTATCAGTTTAATGTCTTAAATTCAAATTTATATACTTCAACCTAAAATTTAGTGCTATTCTCCTTGTCCTCAAACTGGAAATAAGGACACCTGAATGGTTTAAATTCTATTTTTATTTTTCTCCTTATACCAAATTCATATCCATAAAAAGTCTTTTTGTGTTCTTATAATGTTGTTTGTATGAATGCTCGGTATTAAACTGTATCATGTAGTCATGGAAATATGACAGAAATATGCGAAACAAAAGACTCTGTGCTTGCATCATCCATTTGTGTTAAGCGGTTCATAAAACACTGATAACTTGTACAAAAATTCTGTACAAATTATAATTTGTACAAAATTACAATTTGTACACAACATATACATGTATGTTGGACTCTGAACAGCGATGATAGACATGGTACTCCGAACCGTGATGGTCTCGATGATGGTTGAAGTGCATTTTTGATCACACTGAAGTGCGATAATGACATTGTGACGCTATCTTGTTGATAGTTACGCCGAAGTGCGTTCATAAACTATATTTTGAATGTTTTCCATGTTCACATGTTTCGATGTAGTTGTCAGTTTGTTTGTTAGAAGCTGCTTTTCAGTTTGTTAAGTAAATCATCGAGAATATTACCCGTTTAGTCTAAAACGGTCACGGTAAATATTCATTACATTTCCAGCCATAACTGTCTCGTTGTAGCTCACATTGTAAAAAGGCTTGGACAAAAATAAGCCGATGTTCATTCAATCGTTCAGAAATTGACCACTGTATATTTTTTACCATTTAAACCAGTACTACTTTCAAAGGCTGAAAATCCTGGAAGTATAGTTTGAAATGCAAATACTACTTGATGAGTCATAACGAAACAAATTGTAACAAATCTATTTGACTGCTGTGAACGAGAGCATAAAATAAGATAGATCACCGTAGATGGTTTTTATGGAGTTTTTGTTATTTATATACCACTAGTAACTAATAAAAAATCAACTTTTATAATAATTGCACATCTGCAGATTATAAACTAGCCATCACGCGGTATACAGACCATCGCACATTAGCAAAAGGACCATCACACTTCGGCGCAGACCACCGCACTTCAGCGTGATCGTCGCACTTCAGCGTCCCCATCGCACCTCCGAGTCCGATATATATATACAGGTATATACCTCGCTGGTCTTGTATACAATAATACTAAATGGGTCTAGTATATATTGCGTAGGTCTAGGATATTCATTCATTCAATCATTTCTTTATTTCCTCTATCAAGAGATTCAATGAATAACTATATGTTAGCTCAATACCCAAATGAGTATAATCTTCAGCTAACGGAAGAACACTGTTCGCAATATGTCAATCGTATAGTACACGAACTTCTCGTGAATTCAGGGAGAATTACATTACAGGCGACTTCTTCGCACAAAATCTCCATCTATGTGCATAATCAGCACATGTATCTAACATTCGCTGAAGACCTGAAGGGGTTGTGCCAATACGTGAAATGTCGTCAGCGAGAGCAGGAGGGCAACTAGCTATATGATATACATCTGTTTTCTGGTTACATTTTTCAAGTTCTACCAACGTGTATATATATACAGGAGAAAATAACCATAATTTATCATTCAATTCTGAATACTGTAAGAATGGAGAACGAAGTTTTATTTTCCCTTCAGCTCGGTGGCGACAGAACAGTGCGAGTTTTAAAGGACGGTGAAAGTTTCCATGTTCAGATTTGTGAAGACATGGAAAATGAAGAGCCAAGCTGTATCAAAGAACAGACACTGAATCCATCCAGATGGAAGATCTTAAATAATAATATCAAGGTGGCGACCGGTGCATTAAGAGAAATAGAACGAGGAATGGAAGTTGAAAAGATGGTCCATTTAGGAGGAAATGTTCACCTCAGTATGAAATCGCCGTATAGGTGAATAAATATTCAAAGATCGACAACAAACATAGAAAACCGTAAAACTGTAACGTCAGAAAAATCTTGTCAGACGGACGAAGACCATTGTCTGGACACTACCAAAACAGCAAGGTGGTGGTTTAATCCCTCCTCTTCCCGGTATACCGGAAACTGTTTCCAAAAGTCTTAATCCTCATTTACAGATTCAAGTATAGCTTCACAATCAAAAACAATGAAGTATGGATACACTCTTTTTTCCTTGTCTACAACAATGTCGTATTCTTCGAGCACATCAATAATATTTTGCCTTGAATAATGAAATCCACCCGGATAAGTAAACTTTGTCTTATTTTGGCATTTTCTCTGATGTTGAATACATGGCCATGCGCTTGTAAAATAACGTTCGCATGTAAGACATTGGTATTTCTCATTGTAGGCTTTCATCTTGGAAATATACGACAAGTGAGAACTATAGAGGTTTAAGTTCATCATCATATTGCGTCATGCACCTGCGATGCAGCACTACAGTTCCGTCATCTCTTATATTATAAATGTTAACGTTTATATTAAAACATTTCTCAAAGGAGTGTAGCTCACGTATGTCAATTCCAGGGAAGGGCTTTCTCGAATAGGAACCACCTGTAAACTCCATAAAACGCTGGAAATACGAAAGTGCTGTTGATTCTCTTTTTTGGTTTTGTCCATTGTGTATGTTATATAGATACAATGCATAAGCGTTGATTCTTGAAAAAGAAACCATGAGCCCGGAGGGCGAATGGTTTGTTTTTCATGAATCAACGATTATCCATTGTATCTATAACTTAAACTATTGTGTTAATGTCTTTTCAAAATTATAGCCTTTTCTTAATTAGAAGGTATTGTAAGTGAGTTTAAATAACCATGTTATCATGTTCACTGATGCATTAATAGATCTAAGATCACAATTAATTGGTTAGAAAAATACAAATATAACACAACACACCTGTCTTTAAATTATCAGGCATCTGAATATTATCCGTGTTTACAAAATAAGACATATTCGAACTTATTTCTAATAAAATTGAGAAAAGAAATTGGGAATGAGTTAAAGAGACAACAACCCGACCAAAGAGCATATATAAAGTATATATAATAAGTATATTACCGAAATTTCTAGCAAGAAGCCTAATTCTAGGCACATCACGATTAACTCGCACTATAGGAATGCGAATACATTTCTAATATTATGTAGTAAAACAGATGAAATCATACTATATTTATAAAACAAAAATGGACAAATAGAATGTAATCATTTTCGTTTCAAACATGTGAAATAGCAGATAATAATCCAAAAAATAAACGGTAAAACTCGCTATTATTACAAATATATTCACTATAACATACAAAATAAGAAAAAAAACAGGATAACTTAAGAATTGGGACAACAAAGAGAATACAGGGATTCGAACCTAAACCGTCAAGTCCCTACCTGTAACACATTGATCTTAACCATGCTAACCTCGCGGCTACCAACTTATACTATACGACTGCCTATTATGTATATATAAAGGTACAAGCCATGTGTTTGTTGTAACGATGTATGTCATATGTTCATTTATATATATGAAATTGACATTTAAATTGTAACCCGTTGGTAGTCGAGAGGTTTCGTCGATGTGTTGATGTCAGTCACAAACATAACCGATTTCAAGGAAGGGTTCGAATCCCAGTGAAGGCATATAAAATTACAAAAATTAAAGGTAAGTTTTTAAATTAATTCCATTAGTGAACAGAAATCAGTAAATTAGCCAATTCAAACTTAATGAAATCAGACACACAAAGGACACAATTGAATATAATTTGATGAGTCCATTTCAGCGGCAGATTTAGGAAGCGTTGATTCTAGGAAAAGAATCCACGGTAAATGAATAGGCTGACGTCACCACAATGGTTTAGGCAAGACAACGGAAGGCACACAAATTGTCCGTATATTTCTTTGCCGTGCTTTTGGTTTTTTTCAGAGCGTATATGATATACTCCGGCAGTTCTACACCACCAGCTCCAAGCACAAAATTTGTTTTGAAGACTGTTACTTTCATATTTGTCGCAATATGTACTCGTTTAAATCGAGCTGATTCAGTAAACGTTTTAATTTTTTGTGAATATTGCTGAGATTGTTGACCAATAATGGTTTTGGGAAAATGGTCTCATTCTGATCCGGGATGAAGTATATCAGGTCATTTGTTTCAATGTTCCGCAAAAAAGAGTCCAAAGAAAATATTCAAACGGAAAGCCATCGGTTGACCCTATATATTCTTAACACTTCGTTCATTATTTCTTGAACGCTTATTTCATTTGCTAAAGGGATATTGTAAGTGTTTTTGATAGAACTGACTTTATCTGGTGCCAATATAAACCTTGTATTTGCCTTGTAGCAATCCTCGAAGGTTATGTTGCCATCATACGGGGGTGTTTTGTCCTCTTCCCATGGCGGGTTTTGTAATTTCGAGCCTCTGCCTTCTTGATAGGTCAGGTTCCTATGTAGATAAAGTTCCCGTTTGTTGTCAAAGCATATGTAACATGTCCTACATTTGATTGACTGTTTGATATTCGTTGAACT